TAATGGGTCTAACTTATTACAAAGATCATTCAGAAGAAACATTTTAACCAATTTTTCTAAACATTTAGACACAATGGAAGTAAGTGAAACAGGTCTATAGTCATTCATTTCCTTCGGTTTGGAAACCTTTGGCACAGGTACAATTATAGATGACTTCCACACAGGTGGTATCTCATGGTTTAGTAATGAAGTAGAAAAAATATCTTGGAAAGGTTCAGCTAGTTGTTCAGCACATTCTTTTAAGATTCGCTCTTTTATTCCATCAGGCCCACCAGCTTTCATTGGGTTGACGTTTTTGAAAATGTTACAAACTTGCTCTTTAGTAATCGCTAATTCTAAACAGTTGTTAACATTGACATCCTCAAGGGCTTTAAGTCTTAGATAATTAAAATCTTCGTGTCGAAGCGACAATAGAAATCATTTAACTCATTGGCTAATGTTTTTTCGTCTCTTGTAGCAAGATTATTTTTAATTTTGACTTGTGATCCTGCCATTTTGTTCATGATGCCCCACGACTGTTTCATGTCACTTGTCTTGAGTCTTCCAGCTTGGTGCGATAGTTTCTCCTCCCTTCCTCAAGAACGACGTTGAGATTTCGTAGAGCTATTTTCCTTGTCTGTCCATCGGCACTCATATATGCTCTTTTCTTTTTGATAATTTCCCATTTTATTTTGGCAGTGACCCATGGTTTATTGTTGGGGTATATCTTGATGCTCTTTGTACTGACACACATGTTTTCACAGAATTTGATGTAATTTTTCCTTCTTTAAGTTTCGTGCGGTAAGTAGGCAGCAGTTGTATTGTTTTGTGGTCCAATGATCCTAGTGGTGGCTTTTCACGAGATATGAATGCTCCTTTGATGTTACAGTAACATAAGTCCAGAGTTCTGTCAAGAGATGTGTTGATAGATGCTGGGTAGGTCAAGGTGCATTTATTAAAATCACCCAGTATAACTACTGGTGCGTCCGGTGACCTTGACTGAAACTCATGCACTACTTCAGCGATGATTGCAGCTGCAACTTCCGTCTTGGCTGTAGGCGGAACATAAACCAGGACTATGTAAATAACACCAAAGTCTCGTGGCAAATAAAAAGGTCTCAATGAGAGCGCCAGTAGTTCTAGATCCGGACAGCACATTCTCTTTTTAACTATGAAGTTGGTACAGTATTTGAGGTTGATGTATACACACAAATCCCCACCTTTCTTCTTCTTAGACTCAGCCATTCTGTCAGATCTCACGCAAGAGAAACCATCAATAGCAATCAGGTTGTCGTTGTCATCCTCCTCTAACCATGTCTCAGTAAAAGCCAATAGACAACTTTCCCTAAAAACGTGGTTGTAGCGTACATGGGCACATATCTCATCCACTTTGTTTCTTATTGAGCGGACGTTAGCCAGAATAATCGTAGGAAGTGGTGGGCGAAAACCTCTTCTTCTCAGCCTTTGCTGTAGTCCTCCTTTTTTCCCTCTTTTCCTTGTACTAATAGAGGAAGGGTAGAGACAATTTATATGTGCATAACATGGTAGAAGAGGCTTCCTCTTTGAACGAAGTCCGAGAAGTTGATCTTTACTATAATGAATAAATCTAGTACTAGATCGGCCGCCATCTTGGGTCGCCATCTTGGGTCGCCATTTTCTTCTTTTATTTCTAACCAAATAACCAAATAAATAAAATTGTAAATAAAATCCAACTTGGTGATATAACTTTCGCATTAGTTCAAGAGAAATTGATATGAACATACATTTTTTGGTTCTAATAAAGTATTGTAATGCCTAAGGCACAATTGCGAGACAAATTTCCTCACAGGTTATAAAGATTTAATATTATTTTTAAATCTGTAGTTCTCAGCCCTGTATAAACTGCTAAATCGCTGATGTTTCAATGAATAAATAATGATTTTTTTTAACCTGTACAGGAGGGTGTCTATATCTATGGATTGTTCTTGGATGGAGCTCAGTGGGACAGAAGAAATAGCAGACTAGCGGAGTCTCAGCCAAAAGTACTATTTGTGGCACTTCCTGTTGTACACATGTATGCAATCAATTCAACATCACCAAAGGTTAGAATGGAGATACAAAGTGTCATATATGGTTTAGAGATTTATTGAATCAATTCAGCATCACCTAAACTTTGTCCTCAAAAATAATAGTAATATTTGATGTGTTTTTTTCTAAATACCTACTTTATGTGCAGATAATATAGCTAAATAAGCATTCATATTTTACTTGTGTTTATTTTGAAACAATTGTATTAAAATAAAAAGTGATACTTTTCCTTACATTTTCAATGTTCTCTTTCATATGATTGAATAACAGAGAGTAAAAAAAATGGGATTAAATAACCTATGACATTCAGATAATTAGCCAAATACTCTAATAAGCTAAGCTAGCAAGCCCTACACTAAATGTGAAAATCTAAAAATATGGATCTCCTATATTTATCTAAATGAATGAAATATAGAAAGGGTCTTCAAAAAGTTGTTTTTTTTTTAAATATTCTTTCTGAAATTTCAATAAAATCTGTTGTCAGGCACCATGAACTTATGTGCATAATGAACGGTTTCAAAGTAAAGGATTCAAATTTTGTGGTTTTGATTATGAAGTAAATGTGAACCAATAGTAGGAATTTAAAATATTTCAATGTCTTCAGAGAATCTGTTCATAAGCTACAGTTAGTCATTTTGATTGGCAGGTAACTTATAGGCCAGTGTGTTATTCAATCAATATTTGTTTAATCTTGTTTTAGGATCCCAAGCTGTACCAGTGCCCAGTTTATAAGAAGCCATGTCGAACTGATCTGACCTATGTCACCACTATTTACATGAGAACTACTCAGAGTCCTGACTTATGGATCCTGCGTGGAGTTGCAGCACTTTGCGATATCAAATAACTTTAGCCAAGTTAGGATTGCTTCTCCTTTTATTAGATAACTTGAAGCAATTGGGTTGAATGTAACATTAAATAACTGAAGTCTACTTGTAGAGTAGTTGTTTGTTATATCAAATAGCATATAACAAACTGAAGCATTGTTGTTTGTGATATGATAAAACTGGAGCCTTCTTGGCCAATGTTGTTGTTTGTGATATGATAAAACTGGAGGAGCCTGTTTATTTGTCAGTGTGAGTGTGATCAATGATTTATTGTGACACTCTGCCAGCTATGTCTTACATTTGTATGTTGGTTATTATTAAAATAACTTTGTTCATTAAAAAATGATGTATTCTTATTATATATTTGATCTTTCATAATCTTATGTATGCTGTATTGTTATAATGATGTGATTTCAATAAAATTGAAGATTTTGTAATGCTTGTTAACTTGAGTGTTTTATATATATATATATATATATATTTATTTTTTTTCTCAGGTTATTATTAAAACTCACTTGTACATACATCCCCTAGCTGGGTTGAAGATGATATATATATATATATATATATATATATATATATATATATATATATATATATATATATATATATAAAGTCCTGAAATGCAGTGTGTCTGACATATCTGCATCATGCTATTAAGTCTATCTATGTTTCTAAATCTACCCAGCACTTTGCTTCTCTTGTTAACTGAACAGTAATAAGAGTTCAGAAAAGTCATCAGAAAATTTTGTTACATTTTATTTAACTGTGAAAAAAAAATAATTAAAAAATCGGTATTTATCTACAATATGAAAAATGTTAAGTCTACAAACCATTAGTCTCGTCTCTTAATCCAAGAGCCCGACAGGAACTGACTCCTTGTCAGTCAAGAAGAACAATATTTAGAAAAGTTATTTTAAGTCACATTCACGCTTTAATCTAAACTGTTGAGCCACTTAGAAAACATAATAAAGGCATCAAAAATCACCATATTTAAAATAACTTTTTGAACACAAATGTCTAAGAAAAACCGCAAATATCTTGGAAGACAACAGCCACCCACTCCAACTTAACTACGTCAAGTCAACGCGAAGTGGGCGACTTAACTTCTGTCAGTTTGAGTGATACAAAAACTATTTCGTTCCTTACTCTGTCAGACTTTATCAACGCCACTTGTTGATCAGGAAACATAAAAAGGACCAAGACATCTGTGTGTAGTTGCTGAATGAACTCTTTATGTTGTGTCTGTTCTATTTAAACGAATGTTTCTGTTGTGCTGTCTTTACATGAGAAAGAGTCCTTGAAATCGCAACAAATTTCCATGAGAATCAATTAAGCAGTCTTAGCCTTAGATAATTTAGAATTGAAAAACATTTTATTCTCATTAAAATACATTCAATTAAGATAGTATGAGAACTTGAAGGCAGGGCCTATAGTATGAGATCTAGTAAGAGGCAGGGCCTATAGTATGAGATCTAGTAGAAGGTAGGGCATACAGTATGAGATCTAGTAGAAGGTAGGGCATACAGTATGAGATCTAGTAGAGGGTAGGGCATACAGTATGAGACCTAGTAGAAGGTAGGGCATACAGTATGAGATCTAGTAGAAGGTAGGGCCTATAGTATGAGATCTAGTAAAAGGCAGGGCCTATAGTATGAGATCTTTTAGAAGGCAGGGCCTATAGTATGAGATCTTTTAGAAGGCAGGGCCTATATTATGAGATCTTTTAGAAGGCAGGGCCGATAGTATGAGATCTAGTAGAAGGCAGGGTCTATAGTTTGAGATCTTTTAGAAGGCAGGGCATATAGTATGAGATCTAGTAGAAGGCAGGGCCTATAGTATGAGGTCTTTTAGAAGGCAGGGCTTGTACAGCTTTAACAAGCCAAATGTAAAACATAAGGACATTAAAGCTAACCATCAGAACACTAAGTCTCAATGTGCAGACACTTGGCCACAACATTTCTTGACCTACAACAATGCAGGACATGAGATCTCAAAGTTAACTTGTGATCAAGGTGATGATCCACTAGATGCAGCCATAAAACTGCAGGAACATAGCTTAGTGTACAGGTTTTCTCATCCCTTGTTGATAAATTAGATAACATATTTACAAAGACTTAACACAAAATATGAAAATTGTATTGACTTTTATTCACACATTGCTTGTTTTAAAAAAATAATTTCAAAGTCTACAGTATACATAACTAATAGTAAAGATAATATTTATCTGCACATAAACATAAACTTCAGACATAAACAAAAAAATAATTACATTGTCAAAAAAGTTTTTTTCTCATAACAGAAATATATTGCTTACAAAAGTGAGAGGAAAATATTGACCTGATAATCTTTATCACAGAATTTCCTTGACTAAAGACGTCTGTAAAAGAGTGACTACAATTCATTACATTTTCTAATTATATAAAGAATTTTTTAAGCAAAATGAAATGTACCGGTATCCACGTATTTTCATGTGAATCTTTGTCATTAACTGTGTAAGTACAAATAGTTAATAGTGAACAAATTGTGAAACATTTTCATTATGAGAATTTTGGACCAAATATAAAGAACAGGTATCACATTATCCTGTGAAAGGTGAAAGCATGAGGTCAGGTGAGAGAATTCTTGATGTTACTCCAGATTGTATAGCTATGAAAACATGAAGTGAAGATTCAAAAACATTCAGCAGTCTTGGAAACTACTAGAAAGCTCTTGGATGAATAAAGTTCAGAAAACAATGCCCCTCCTACAGCAGAGATAAAAATGTAATTCTCCTACAGCAGAGATAAAAATGTAATTATTCTCCTACAGCAGAGATAAAAATGTAATTATTCTCCTACAGCAGAGATAAAAATATAATTATTCTCCTACAGCAGAGATACAAATGTACCTCACAATGAAGAGCAGATAATATCAATGCTCAGATTTGGAAGAAAATTAAGTCAAGAGTCTAAGCCTAGCACCACCGGGCAAGCAGCAATGTAGACAAGGGCAGGATATAGAGAGTCAGTACAATAAACAAAATCTTATAAATTACTTTCATCATCATTTTTTTTCTATTATGAATGAGCACAAACATTAAAAACAAATACTTCAGATCCATACACATTTGAATTACAAGAATCTTGAGATCTAAAGAGTAAAGTAGCTGCAGTGGGAATAGTGTATCTAGGTCAGAAACATTATTAAGTCAAAATCAGAGCACATTCTTCAGGACAGCAGCAGATCCATTTATGAGAATATAGCTTGGTAAAATAAAAAGTGAAACCTACTGTGTAAACAATAGCAAAACGTTTCAGCAAATAAACATAATATCAAACACAATTTGTATATCTGAAAACTTTCTTTCAGTCACACTGTTCTGGATTGTGCATTCACTTGAAACAAAATAATGACAAAACCAAGCTATTGCTCATGTGTAGAACTAAGGGAATGAAGTGACAGATGTTGCAAATAACTAGTACAGTAAACAGGTACTAGGCAGAAAACTCCATTAGATTCATAACTTTAAACTGTAGAAGGCGCTGGTTTGTAAAAAGCTTGGCCCATCCTGATGCGCCTAGAAATTTCCTGACTCAAGAGTCTCTTTTCTTTCTTGACTTTAGCTAACACCCCACGATTCTCCATGGCTCGTCTTGACAAGTATGGCAAAACCTCTTCCACTGGTCCAAATGGCACATATTTATACACTGAGTAGCCAGCTTGACCTAAGAAAATTAAAAGAAATAAACATAATAATGCCAACCTTACGTTCTTTTCAATGAAATTACTGAAAAAAAAATTTTTTTTTTAATTTTTAAAACAATTCTTTAATTCATTACAAAAATTAATGATCCAATCAATCATAGCAATGGTAGCACTGCTTCCATAATTGTAAGCTGATGATCGAGTTTACTGTTAGATTTTATATTTTTTAGATGAAATACAAAGCATGCATGGCCAACTTACCAAGAGGAAAACTGATTTGGTCACACATACCAAACAACTGGCCAAAACAAATCAATCTATCTCCTGGACCAACACCATACTCTTTCATTCTGAGGAAAGAAGTTTTATGATTAATTCAACAAATTAATCTGAATTTAGACAGTCTGAATGTAAACGTCTACCCAATCTACAACTAACTCATCTCCCCCTAGCCACTTACTTTTCTATTGTATATCTGACTGTGTCTTCATTGTGACTAGCTATCATCACTGCAATCCTACCCACAGGGCGCAGATGGATCTGTCTCATCACTTCCTCTATAATGCTGTGCATCATGTCAGTCGTAGCTTGGTAGTTCGGGTTGATTGGGTCTTCATAGCCCAAGGTCTGGGCTCGTTCTCTCTCCTGGGGTAGTCAGAGTATTAAGTTTTTATTAACAAGAGAATTTGATTATATGATCAGATTTTTGTACAAGATCATAATACATATTCTTAGGCTTTAAAAACAAGTTTGAAATGTTAAGGGACAAGGTGGCTGAGTGTTTAAGTGCTTCCCTTCCAAACTTTCTGGGTTTGAATTTTGGTGAAGACTAGGATTTTTTATTTCGGGATATTTGGACATCTCTGAGTAAAGGAGTTGAGTAAAAGTATAGGTGATTGGTCATTGTGCTAGCCACAAGACACCCTTGTTAACCTTGGGCCACAGAAAAAGATGACCTTCACATCATCTGCCCTATAAATTACAAGGTGTGAAAGGGGAACTTTACTTTTTTAAACGTCAAAATTAAGTACTTTATATTTTGAGGCAGATCTAATGTAAAAATGACTTCTTTAAAAAACAAGTCACCAAACATGTCATACATTTTTTGTCCAGGACAGTTAAGGTAATCTAGGCAGTTTCATGATGGCTCATAAAGAGTCTAACAGCATGATTCAGTGATCCTCACCCAATGGTCTGTGGGCTATATTTGGCTTACAATGTGGTGCTATCCCCCTAGAAACTTGTGCATAATAAAGCCACCAAGGCTGAGTTTCATTGGACTCACTGATTTATACAGTGATGCTGCCCTTGACTGTAAAGTCTTGAATATACAATTAGACACCTTGACCAAAAGAAGGTTGGGCTCCACAGGCATAATATATTGTTTTTGTGTGAGATGAACAGCTCATGCATACACATAAGTGTGTAAAAAACATTTTCTTGCTGGATTTTGAAGACAAGTATTTTTTGAGAGATTGAAGATTTATTGGATATATGTGAATTCATTTTTATATAATAATAATTTTATTTATAAAGCGCTGTTAACAAATAAAATGTAGGCTCAAGGCACTGTAATAACATTACAAACACAAACATGACAGCTAAAATGACAAATTAATCTAAAAAAGTTATAAATAGGTAGGTCTTAATGTTCTTTTTGAAAGTAGTAGCATGTTGTCTGAGATCAATGGGGAGTGTAAGTTGATTGTTCATGTGATTTTCCATTCACTGTATTGGACCACAATAGTAAACTGTGCTTCTTGTGAATACACTGTTTTCAGAGAAAGATAAGCAACTTGGTGAGGTTTATTTTAGAACTCTAAACTATAGTCAAACCTTAAAGGTACAGTGGAAGGAGCATGAAGAAAGGGTCATCCCAAAAAAAAAAGCTGGCTGGACAATGTCAAAGAATGAATCTGCCTCTCTCCTGCTATTCTACTAAGAACAACTTGCAGTGATAATACTGTCAATGCAACCCTACCATGAAAGTCAAGGGAAGATAAGATGATAGACTATAGCAATATTTAAAATAAAACTTCTGAAACAAACTTGTGACTGATTAGCAGTGATGTACAAATTATGTCATTACCTGTTCCATGTAGGCTCCTCTGACTAGCTTGGCACCAAAATAAAAATCTTCTCTTCTGGCTAAATCCATGTCTACCACAATATCATTGAAGGCTTCCTGAAATTCAAACACTCAAGTCTATAGGGCCAGGACATATTGCATTTTTTCAATCAAAAGAAATACAGAGATCTGTCAGCATGTTAGAGAAATAGATGGTTTAGTGTACTAATTCAGATCATTAGCCAAAAAAAGCCTTGTATTACTTTAAATGACTTTTATTATATGCAATCTGCACTTTTTTTTAAAATCAAAGGTAGTTAATGGATAGAATTTAATGGTCCCACCTGTCAGGGGGAGGTATGGCGAGAATGAATGTTACTTTGTTATTTTGGTAAGATTGTTATATCCCCTTGTTGTGAATGTGAATAGTGTTGCACGTGTTGTGAACTGAATGATTTGGTCTTCATTGAATGTGGGAGAGTGTGTTGAGTTAGTGAGGTCTTGCTCCTGGTCTAGGAAGGTTGGCTAGTTGCTTCCTGGACTGATGTTTATGTTTTTATATATTTCATAAAGTTGATGGACTAGTGATTGTGAATTAATAATATTTGAGAGTCGATGTCATTGTGTGATTTATTGAATATTAAAGTTACTCATTGTTATTATCAGGATTATCAGGAGTTGAAGTTTATTTAGTAAAAAGTAATTCTAATTGAGTGGATATCTGGAGTTAAACTGTATCAAGTAATAATGCTCGTAATATTATAATCAAGTAAACCCCTAAGGAGCCAAGTCAAGCCAAGCTTAGAAATGAACCCTGACCCCACCTTTGTGTAAGATTGGTAAGTGTTAAAGATGACACTCCTTTCTTTGTTAAACTTTCTCATCATCTCCATGGTGAGTCGGCGTATTGCTGGCTGGAAGTAACTTTGTTCAGCATCTATCATCACACGCACTTCTTTTTCCTGGGCATACTGGGTAATCAACAGACAAAGATCAACTTAGGTTAAATCAATAAAAATTTTAAGTGTTGATAAAATGAGTATTTATAGGGCATTCTTGTATCTAGTTATAGTTGAACAATGCTGACTGGCCATGCAAAATATGAGACGGAAAGAGTGGAATTCATGTAGAGCTGAGATTTATTTGAATGACATGCAAAAGTAAAAGTTCCTCCTTTCAGACCTTGCAATCTAGTGGCCAGATGATGTCAAGGTCATCTGTTTCTATGGTCAATGGTTAATGAGAGTGTCATGTGGCCAGCACAACACATCTACTGCCTTTACATTACCCAATTATTGTCAGGTATTTATTAGAGATGAATGAATGCAGGGGTATCTTAAAAATCCAAAAATTCAAAATCCAAGTCATAACCTAGATTTCAATCCCTGGTTCAGAAGCTTATTCATTTACCACTTTGTAACCACACGCCATGAATAATGTGATGAATCTAATTTATGTATAAATTAAATGTATTGGATCAAGTGGTATGAAGGTCTAATTCATATATTTTTTACATTTATTTAAATAAGAAATAATAGTCTGATTCAACTATAAACTTATTTGAATAAATGATGAAGAAGTTCTAAGTGTAGATAAAATGTATTTGTATGGAACCTTTTCCCCTCGTTTGACTTGTCAAGAGAGAAATGGAAAGCAATAAAACAAGATCCCATCAATGTCAGCTTTTTTTTTTTACACATCACAATGCAATGCAAAAAGTAATACAGACTTCCAGTCCAGAAAGATTTTTTAAAATTATTATTTTTAAAACAAATTGATTAATAAATAAACAAAATTAAAAGTAAAAACAACTTTTAAATATCCTTCAAAACTAGTTCAACTTGTCTAAGGACTGACTTACTTTGGCTAAGGTATTCACTCTTCGCAACATTCCTTTCATTTGATATTCTTCTTCATCTGTGATACATTCAACTAAAGGCTGGAACTGACCTGTCTGCTCACAAAAAAACAAGAAGTTTTAAAAAATGTGTGTATATTCAGTTTCATTAGCAATAATTAATGATTTGAATCAATGTAAATTATGTATTTTGTTAATTTTATGTAAAGGAAC